CAGATATTCCATTGCACGCATCAATAATTTTTTGTTTTAAAATATCTAAATTATTAGATTTTGTTTTATACACTATATTTTTTAAAATTCCCCATAAAAAGAAATCTAAGGGTGTCAAGTCCGGAGATCTAGGCGGAAATTTCAAGGGCCCGTGTGTCCCCAACCATCTTCCGTGGTAGACTTCATTCAAATAATTTTGAACAATGACCGCATTGTGGCAAGGAGCTCCATCTAGTTGAAACCATAAGTTTCTTCTGATTTGCAGTGGCACATGTTCCAGCAAAAGAGGAAGGTGATTTTGGAGAAAATCTAAGTATCTTGAGCCCGTCAAGGCGCCTTCATAAAAGTATGGCCCTACTAAGTGCCGCCCGACTATTCCGCACCAGACGTTTATGCCAAAGTGGCCCTGTATTTGATGTTGTCTGATTTTGCTCGGGTTTTCGTCTGACCAATAATGGGTATTTTTTTTGTTTGGTAATCCATGACTAACAAAATGACTTTCGTCTGTCCATAGTATATGAGAAAATAAATTAGGATTGTCATCCAAAGACACCAAAAACTGACAAATAAAATCCTTCCTCCTCTCAAAATCTCTAAGCGAAAGTTCTTGCAAATTATGAAATTTATAGTCATGGTATTTGTTGCTTTTTAAAACTCTTTGTATCACACTATAATTTAAATTTAAGTCTCTTGAAGCCTCTCTTATAGAAGCTTCATGGTGATTGTTAAAATAATTTAAAATAATTGCCACATTTTCATCCGTCGTGACAGTTTTTGTTCTTGATCTTTTACCTGCAAATTTGGCTCATTGAATTTATGGGGATTTATTAAAAAACACAAAACCTACCTTCAAATGCTTTAGGGTTTTGACGTAAACTAGTTTCTAACCTGGCACACATTTTGTGGTCTGAAAGGTTGCGTTCGGGGTATTTTTCTGCATATAATCTTCTTGCAGCTAAACCATTTTTTTGGGCTTCTCCGTATAAAAGAAGCATGTCAACTTTATCTGAATGTGTAAACATATTTCTTATTACTCACTATTTTAATAGGAATAATTGAAATTACACTGACAGTTTCAGACATCAATCAATATAAGCCAATTATGTTTTTTCAAAGCCTACCTGATTTAGTGAAATTTAAAATACCATGCATTCTTTGTATGGCAATCTAGAAATTTGGAACATAAAAACTGGTCTGTAATTTTTGAATGGTTTTAGATGGAAAAAAATAGTATTTAAAAAAAGTGTTTTTATTGAATAGATCTTTCAATTTCTGAAATAAAAATGGTATGCTTCTGACAAAAAAAAATTTAAAGCGTCGCGACGCCCAGCGTCGTTTATTTATAACTTCCTTATCCATCCCAATTTCAAGCAATAACCAGCCCAAATAAAATACTTTTCACAGAACCCAATTTGCTGCAGCCATTTACGAGAAAAACTCATTTCCCATTTACAGGTTCGTTAAAAAAATGAGATCCTATCATGTACTCACCAAAAATGCCACTCCAAACATTTAAAAACCACCTTTTCTGACTGTGAGTAATTATATGGTATGGATTAGAAGTGGAATAATAATGAAAGTTGTGTCTATTGATACAGCCATTTCGATGAAAAGTTGCCTCATCTCCAAAAAGCACTGGTGCTCAAAAATATCTTCGTTCAGTAATTTTTTGTTGTGACCATTCACAAAAAGTTACCCTGTGTTCAAAATCCATAATAGTGACTTCTTGATGTAGTTGCATATGATACGGATGCATTTTATTTTTGGAAAGTATTCTTTCTACTGACGTATAACTTATTTCCTGTTCTCTTGCTATATTTCTTATACTTGTATGCGGATTTTTGGTAACTGCTAACTAAACATTTAGTTCATTTTTTTCTTCAGTAACAGTTTTTGTTCTATCAATTTTCTCATATGAAACTGACCCTGTTCGGTTAAATCGATCCAGTTTTTCGAACGATGTTTTATTTGGCGTTCTACGCTCTGGAAATCGTTCTTTATAAACTCTAGTTGCTAACAAAGAGTTTTTATTGCATTCTCTCAAAATCCATACCATATCAACTAATTCTTTACGATACGACTATAATTCATATTAAAAAACTGGCGAGATTTTGTAGAAAACAAATAATGCAACACTAATAACATTAATAATAACAAACTGTCAATATTGGGGGTTTTCAAAGCCAACTTAAAAAAAAAATTAATAAACAAAACATTTAGTAGGTTTCATTATTTATAGTTTGTGGTTGCAATGTTTATTTCTTTTTCTAATATATGTATAAGTGACATTACATATTGTCAGAAACTTACTTAGTCGATAATAAATAATTACTTCAGGTTAAATTCAATTTAAATCTCTAAAAACTATTAACTTTTGGTATAGGGAATGCTTAAGTCAAATTGAAGTATAATTAGGATACTTTTAAACGATGATATTTATATTTTAATACAGGGTGAACCATTTAAAAAAATTGAGAAAATTATGTATTTGTGTTTTGACTCACCCTGTACAGATTTGATGCGAATTGAAAAAAGTAGTGTCTCCGGATAAAATTTAACTATGATCGAAAAATTGTGGTGGAAAAAAAATTGGTTATCAACGGTTTCTTTTGCATGATATAGGTCATTGAATTCAATACGACTTTAAACAAAACTAATTATATTCTGCAAAATACCCTGTATAAACCAATAATAATTTATATTTTTAGAATGGGTAAAGCGAGGGCAATTCAAATATAAAATAAAATACAAGGTGGTCCATTAAAAATAACATAAGTTGGTTCCAGAGGGAAGTTATTAACGACCCAGTATATTCAAAAATAATTTTAAAATATGTAGTTTAACGTGTCTACCGGATTTTTACGTTTTGAGGTCCCCTGAATCCGTTTTGACTATTTTCGCGTTGATGTCTGTGTCTGTGTCTGCGTCTCCGTGTGTGCGTGTGTGGGTGTGTGGGTGTGTGGGTGTGTGGGTGTGTGGGTGTGTGGGTGTGTGGGTGTGTGGATGTGTGGATGTGTGGGTGTGTGGATGTGTGGGTGTGTGGGTGTGTGGGTGTGGGTGTGGGTGTGGGTGTGGGTGTGGGTGTGGGTGTGGGTGTGTGTGCGTGTGGGTGTGGGTGTGCGTGTGCGTGTGCGTGTGCGTGTGCGTGTGCGTGTGCGTGTGCGTGTGCGCGTGTGTGTGTGTGTGTGTGTGTGTGTGTGTGTGTGTGTGTGTGTGTGTGTGTGTGTGTGGGTGTGGGTGTGGGTGTGGGTGTGGGTGTGGGTGTGGGTGTGGGTGTGGGTGTGGGTGTGGGTGTGGGTGTGGGTGTGGGTGTGGGTGTGGGTGTGGGTGTGGGTGTGGGTGTGGGTGTGGGTGTGGGTGTGGGTGTGGGTGTGGGTGTGGGTGTGGGTGTGGGTGTGGGTGTGGGTGTGGGTGTGGGTGTGGGTGTGGGTGTGGGTGTGGGTGTGGGTGTGGGTGTGGGTGTGGGTGTGGGTGTGGGTGTGGGTGTGGGTGTGGGTGTGGGTGTGGGTGTGGGTGTGGGTGTGGGTGTGGGTGTGGGTGTGGGTGTGGGTGTGGGTGTGGGTGTGGGTGTGGGGTGGGTGTGGGTGTGGGCGTGCGCGTGCGCGTGCGCGTGCGCGTGGGCTTGTGCGTGTGCGTGTGCGTGTGCGTGTGCGTGTGCGTGTGCGCGTGTGTGTGTGTGTGTGTGTGTGTGTGTGTGGGTGTGTGTGGGTGTGTGTGTGTGTGTCTGTATTTACCATAACTCATGAACCGATACACAGAAAAACACCAAATTTTAAACTTAAGCTTTCTTTCAGCGTCCAATAAACTGATTAGATTTTTGATTAGATTTTGGGCAAAGTCGGATCATCTGGGGGGGGACTTTATAGGTAGTCATTTTTATATTTTATGGAATATATCAGTTATTTACATTTGGAAAAGAAAATTCTTTAAATAAAAGTTACTTCTTATATTATTTTCTATAATTTTTGTACCATACAAAATTTTCCTAAAATGGTCCGTATTCGAAAAATTTGAAGAAATTTAAGAAAAAAATAATTTTTTTTTTTATAAAACTTGTTCAAATAAAAGTTGTTTGTTGTATAATTCTCTTTAATTTTTGTCCCATACATAATTTCTCTAAAATGGACCGTATTCGAGATATTTGAGAAAATGTGTAAATTCCGAATTTTGAAGAAAACTCAAACGGATAAAGAAAAAAACATTAAATTTTAAACTTAAGTTTTATTTCGGCCTGACGTGAAATGATTAGATTTTGGACAAAGTCAGAATATCTAGGAGGTACTTTATGGGAGGCCGTTTTTATATTTTATAGAATATATATCTATTATTTATGTTTGGAGAAGAAAATTGTTCAAATAGAAGTTACTTCTAATATTATTATTCATAATTTTTGCCTCATGTCGAAATTTCCTGAAATGTGCAAAATTGTTTGCGATTTCGATATCTATACTTTTTGTTTATACATGATTTTTCTAAAATGGACCGTAATGGAAAAATTGCAGGAAAAGTGCTAAATTTTAATTTTTCAGTATTTTCGTTTTCAATGAATATCTATAGAAAAATATTTCGAGGTAGATGTATGTGGAAAATGTATATATTTAGTTTATCCTCTAAACATTTATGGAGGTGCTGCAATAGGTTGTATAAAATAACCGGAAATAGCCTATAATAACTAGATAGGAAAGTCATGTGTTGGACACATCAGATTTTTACACTAATGGACCACCCTGTATATTGTAGACTTTGTTTCAATAGTGTCCAGCACATTGGTTTTCAGTAAAGTTATCAAACATTTTTTCATTTCTTCATTGCCATGGAAAATATTAAGAAAACTAAAGCCTGATGATAACTTCAGTGCCGAAAGCAAACTTTTTAATATATTTGAATAAAATAGTGGTTGATAAACTTTCAGCTACATACATTTCTGTTAATTTAAATATTTTTTTTAATTACCAATAAATATTGGACAAATATTTTAAAAAATACTCTATTTGTATTTTAGGCTGTATGGATAACTGCTCTCGCCCCATATGTAGTTCTTATAATTTTGCTAGCAAGAGGAGTATCACTTCCTGGCGCTGCTGAGGGGATTAGATATTACTTAACGCCAGAATGGCAGAAATTATATAATTCGAAGGTAAAATTTATTAAAATTATTTTTAAGAACTACAATGTTATACTCAACAGAATTAACATCATTGTAGAGTGAAAACCATGTGTTTAATTATTTTTTTATAATCATTTTATTTGTTAATAAGTTAATTGGTTTTGATTTGATTCCTTTTTATAAGTGGTTTTCACTTTACGTTAATTATTATTTTTTTATTTTCTATGTATTTTATTCTTTTAGGTGTGGATTGATGCAGCTTCCCAAATCTTCTTTTCCCTAGGTCCAGGATTTGGAACCTTACTAGCTCTATCGAGTTACAATAAATTCAATAATAATTGCTATAGGGACGCCATTTTAACCAGTAGTATCAATTGTTTGACCAGTTTTTTGGCTGGTTTTGTGATTTTCTCCGTTTTGGGTTATATGGCTCACGTGCAGCACAAAAGTATCGAACAAGTAGGATTAGAAGGTAAGATTGTGTGAATAAATTGGATGAAAATGCATTTTATAAAAAATCAAACTTGAATATAAATAAAAATTGTTATATTGTTGTAATATAAAGGTGAATATAATGTTGTATAAGCTTAATACTCGTATTCGTAGAGGTATTTTTCAGTATACGAGTATCGAAACATAATATTATTTGGATTTACAAAGAGCAAGATATTTCGGTTTCGACAATCTATCAGACAATAAAATATTGCCAAAAGGGTATCTCTTGTATTAGTTTACCTAATAGTGGACGACCCAAAGTTTTAAGTCAACTTAATGAGCAAAGATTGATCGAAATAGCAAACAACACAATGTGTAATAGAATGATTGGAATATTAGGTAAAAAGGGGCTGATTGTAACAGTCGAAAAAAATAAGATAAACGTGTCTCATATTGTTCGTCGGATGAAGTAGGTGGTAGTATTAGTCCAGTAGCCAAGACCGGGCCCGGTTACGCAGTTTATATAATAATGTTTATTATACAGGATTTTATAATAGCGGATTTAACGGCACATACACACCACAAAGCGTTATCGTCGCGGCAATTGCTGTAGTTCTTCTTCTCGTCCAACGGCGCTTCACTTGTCTTACAGTCAGACGAAGCGCATGTGTGGGCCAAAGTTTTAAATAAGCGATTTGAGACAAAGCGCGAATATTTAAATAATAAAATAGGAATTAATTCATTCTGGAACACAATGGGAACGTCACTACGAAAGATATCTCAAAGATACCATATTTCGCGTTCGACTGTGGATCAAACAGTCGCCAGAAATAAACTTAATGATTGTAAAAGAAGACAAGTTGCAAAATAGACTGCGGCTCAGTTAGAGAATGTACAGGTGTTGCTGTGCTTTGAGACACATTCGTTTTCGTGAAACAATGTTATGTTGGGAATGAGGTGTTAATACACTGTGACCTAAAAGATCTATTGTACTCCCTTCTATCGCTAATGCAGCAAGAAAATGTCTTGATGCCTATAATAACCCTTCTATCTATCTATCTATTTGAATTAGGACGTGGTTCAAATCCCACTTGTACTGAAGCTCTAGGCTTATTGTACCCCTCACAGTTTCTATCCCATCAGATTGATTTTCTTGATGAATTCAAGAATATGTCTGATGGGCACTTTCGCGATTTCTTCAGGTTCCGGATATTGTGCCCCGAAGTACCATTCCCGTTCTCATTTAAGGTTCCGGCAGTTGCATAGTGAATAGGAGTTTCGTCCTGCTCTTCACATATTCTACATAGGGAGTCATCAGATATCCCTAAGAGATTTAGGTGTCTTCTAAGGCCGCAGTATCCCGTAAGGAGTCCTATTACGGCCTTGAGTTCGCTTCTGCTAAGGTTTAGCAGTTGATGTTGTCTGCTCGTGGATGGCCCCTCTATGAATCTTTTGGACTGTCTTAAGTCCAGGAAGTTCCATCCAGAGCCTATGGTGTTCTCTTTTTATTTGTTCCTTTAACACCCATTTAAAATGTTGGTATGAGATACCACATGAGGGTTCTGGTCCACTAAGAGTTTTTTCCGCTCTCTTCCTTGCCAGAAGGTCTGCTTTCTCGTTTCCAAACACTCCCTCATGTCCTGGCACCCATTCAAGTGTGACCTTGTTATGTTCTGCCAGAGCCTGGAGGGACTGTTGGCAATCAAATATTGATTTAGATTGTACTTCTACCCTTTTTAGTGCTTTAAGGGCTGCCTGACTGTCATGATAACGATCCTCTTATCTCTAAGAGAGTCATTTAGCATGACTTTGGCGCAAGCATTTATTGCTGTTACTTCAGCCTGGAAGACTGTTGTCAGTGACCCCAGTTTAAAACTAATTGTCCTCCCTGAGTTCACATGGTAGATCCCAGCTCCTGTGCTGTATTTCATTTTCGAATCGTCTGTATACCAGATTCATTCGTTTTGTTTTTCCCTATTTTCCCGGCTTTTGGCCCTTTCTGGTATTTGAATATCAAAAGGTTTCCTGAAGTCGTGAATAATGGGCGTTCTATCCGATGGCATTCTTAGTACCAGATTTTGTTTTAATTTCTCTAATATCATTGTGTTCTATCTTCGTAGAGAAAGGACGAGATGCTTGCCCTCGTACCCCTGGTCCAGCATTCACTGGCATATTGGTCCGCCCTGTGCCGGAAGAACTAGGTCCAGCCTCACTCCCCACATCTAATGATGCGGATGATGCGCAGCCCTGTCCCTCCTGCTCTGAGGTCCCGTTAGTCCTGGTGTTTTGTCGGAGCTTCTTCTGCTTTCGCCTGAAAGATCCGGATTTTTTTTATATTTTTTGTTTTTGTTTTTGTCGTCCTTATCCAAAGTCCCACGAGTAGCTAGGGACAGATTCGTCACTCTTGACAGAGCCCCGCATTATCAGGAGAAGGCTGATTACTTGGGGGTGTTGCCCGGTGCCCCCAAGAGAACGTTCGATGTCGCATATACCCCTGCGACAATTCATCCATCGGCACGTTGCCTTACACCTTAGATTGGGGGAGTTGGTTCGCGGCGGTAGACTTTGCAAAAGATTTTGAGACTAACAAAGAAATCCTGGCCGTCCTCCCATCCACCACCTGGAGACGCGCTCAGTTGGCACTCAACCGCTCACCCTTACAATCCTATCTTCTCAAGGAAGTGTAGAATTTGGAATGGCTTCAAGTTAGGTAAATCTCCTTCTATTTGATATGCTCTTAGGTTCTTCAGCTTCATCCTTCTTTTGAAGAACATATCCGGAGATTTTTCCAAACCGATAATGTATAGCATATCAGCGCGATCATCTGGCAGGAAAGTTTATCTATTCCTACCCTGAGGATTTGGCTTTTGCCCTCGTTTCTCCTACTGACATTATGTGCTTCCATTAGCTGTAGAAACTTCTCTAAAGTCTGTTCTTGATTTTTGGAAAAAAAAAAAAATGTTGCAGTATATGCTTTCGGGATGTCGTTTGCCGCACATACTTCCAGCTCAATTCCCTTCCAGTTTCTCAAGTGCGAGATTTTAACCCTGAGCCACTCTGCAGACTGTGAAATTTCACAGTCGATTAGTACTATAACAGGTCAGAAGTGAATGCCTACGAATTGTAGCTATGCTCCCATCCAGAGAACATTCCTTACACTATGGATTCCTTTAATAAGGTTTGGTTGTCCGCACTGAGGTTACTCTCAGGGAACCCGTTCCCTCTTGACGATAAAAATATATTTCACGTTGTGCAACTCCGGGATCGAAAGTAATGACGGTTTCTATACAGACAAGAGGCTCCTGATAAAATTAAATTCAAAAGCAAAGTCAAGTTTATAGACAAAATGTGGCATATTGAGCCCAGTGTCGGATTGGTACCTTCAGGGCCTACGTGTTCAAGAGAAAGAAGGGCCCATCTATCAATTCTTTTTTCATGATCCGATCCATTGAAGAGCAAAAATAGGTTCTCTGATGCTTTTCCGAAGTTATCACGTATTACGGGGTTTCTTTGCATTTGATTCTTGGTTTTTCTCAAGGATCCACTGCTTGAACAAGGGCCTACCGGTCTTTAGACCGGTAGACTCACGCGACGGCCCAATCCAATATTAATTGTAACATATCAGGGGCTAATAATTTACAGCCGCACGTTAAACATGTGAAGCTATCAGTACAGACATTTACACATGAAAATGCTTCACAAAACTTCGAATATCCTTTTTTTATTAATAATGTAATAAATACTTTAATAAATCATTTTATTTTCTTTTAGGGCCTGGACTAGTGTTCATAGTTTATCCAGAAGCGATAGCCACAATGAGTGGATCAGTCTTTTGGTCAATAATATTCTTTCTGATGCTTATTACCCTGGGTCTTGATAGTACCTTCGGTGGCTTGGAAGCTATGATAACAGCTCTATGTGACGAATATCCAAAAGCTCTTGGAAGACATCGAGAAACGTTTGTTGCATTCTTACTGTTTGGTATTTACATTTGTGCCTTGCCAACAACTACTTATGTTAGTATTTATTCAACTTTTTTTAATATTAATTGATGATACAAGATCGTTAAGTATATAGTGTTTACCATTTATTTAATAAGATGCAAATAAAAGGAATTAACTTCTTGAAAAAAATCTTGTAACCCTTTTATTTGTTACATCATCTGCGTCACCTTGATGATGTCATCGATGATGTGGTTCACTGTATTTATCATTTAAAATGTCTTTTACTTATTTACCCAATCGTATTAATAAGTTTGAGTAATTCATTTATACTATCAAATTTTTTATTAATGCAATTAATATTTTTGTTTACTAAAAACAATCAAATTTAAAACAAAATTGTTATATTGCCGATACTCTGCTGTAACAGATAGAACTTCTGAAATTGTTTGCGACTTCTCGATCAGTATGCAATCTGTGAATTAATCGACATTTTGTTGCCTATTTTGATATACTTTATTTTATGAATCCTACTAATATATAAATGCAAAAGTTTGGATGTATGGATGGATGGATGGTTTTGTTGCTCAATTACGCAAAAACGGCTGAACGGATCTGGATAAAATTTGGCACAAAGATAGATTATAGTCTGAATAGCACTTTTTATTCCGAAAAATATACAGATTTGTTTTTATTTTTCACATACATAATTTTTTGCATAGTGGCAGTGAAACATGAAAATTGGAAATAAAATTACTGAGCATAAATTAATAATAACGTGTTTCAGGGTTTTTGGATTTTCACATTTTAAGGGAGGAAATGGCGGTAAAAAGTTTGCATTAAAGAATCAATTTTTTCAAAGGTAGGAACTTGAAAATTGGAATTATAGCTACTCATCACACACGGTATGTTTCAGGGATTTTGGGTTTTCATATTTTAAGGGCAAAAGGGAGGAAAAGGAGAAATGAAAGAAAGGAGAAAAATGAGTGAAAGGGGAAACAGGGGTAAGGGAAGTAAGAGGGTAGGGGGATAAGAGGATAAGGGGATAAGTTGATAAGGGATAAGGGGATAAGGGGATAAGGGGATAAGGGGATAAGGGAATACGGGGATAAGTGGACATGCGGATAAGGGGAGAATGGGATAAGGGGATGAGGGATAAGGGGATAAGGAGATAGGTAAATGAGGGTATAAAGGAGATAGGTAAATGAAGGTATAAGGGGATAATATGATAAGGGGATAAGTGGACATGGGGATACGGTGATAAGGGGAGAGGGGAATGAGGGGATAAGGAGATAATGGTATAAGGGGATAAGGGGGGTAAGGGATAAAGTATGTATGTGTGTATTGCTTTTTTAAAGGTAGGAAATTAAAAATTTTAATTGTAGCAATTTATCATAAATAAACAGACATTAAGGGGGGAACAGGAGGTAAAAGTTTATATAAAACTTTCGGTTTTTTAAAGGTAGAAACTTAAAAATTAAAATTGTAGCTTCTCATTATTAGTAAATAATGACGTATTCGAAGGTTTATGGATTTTCACATTTTAAGAAATGGGAAATGGGGAGTATCCTAAAACTAAATAAAAAATAAAAATGAATAAAAATAAATAAATAAAAATAAATAGACAAAAAAATAAATAAATATAAATAAAAAAAAATTATTAAAAATCAATAAAGATTAATAAAAATTAATAAAAATTATTTACTAAAAATTAATAAAAAATATTAAAAATTGATAAAAATTAATAAAAATTAATAAAAATTAATAAAAATTAATAAAAATTAATAAAAATTAATAAAAATTAATAAAAATTAATAAAAATTAATAAAAATTAATAAAAATTAATAAAAATTAATAAAAATTAATAAAAATTAATAAAAATTAATAAAAATTAATAAAAAATTAATAAAAATTAATAAAAATAAATAAAAATTAATAAAAATTAATAAAAATAAATAAAAATAAATAAAAAAATATTAAAATTTAATAGAATCTATTAAAAACTATTAAAAATTATTGAAAATTAATAAAAATTAATAAAAATTATTGAAAATTAATAAAAATGAATAAAAATTAATAAAAATTAATAAAAATTAATAAAAATTAATAAAAATTAATAAAAATTAATAAAAATTAATAAAAATTAATAAAAATTAATAAAAATTAATAAAAATTAATAAAAATTAATAAAAATTAATAAAAATTAATAAAAATTAATAAAAATTAATAAAAATTAATAAAAATTAATAAAAATAAATAAAAATTAATAAAAATTAATAAAAATAAATAAAAATAAATAAAAAAATATTAAAATTTAATAGAATCTATTAAAAACTATTAAAAATTATTGAAAATTAATAAAAATTAATAAAAATTATTGAAAATTAATAAAAATGAATAAAAATTAATAAAAATTAATAAAAATTAATAAAAATTAATAAAAATTAATAAAAATTAATAAAAATTAATAAAAATTAATAAAAATTAATAAAAATTAATAAAAATTAATAAAAATTAATAAAAATTAATAAAAATTATTTAAAATTAATAAAAATTAATAAAAATTAATAAAAATTAATAAAAATTAATAAAAATTAATAAAAATTAATAAAAATTAATAAAAATTAATAAAAATTAATAAAAATTAATAAAAATTAATAAAAATTAATAAAAATTAATAAAAATTAATAAAAATTAATAAAAATTAATAAAAATTAATAAAAATTAATAAAAATTAATAAAAATTAATAAAAATTAATAAAAATTAATAAAAATTAATAAAAATTAATAAAAATTAATAAAAATTAATAAAAATTAATAAAAATTAATAAAAATTAATAAAAATTAATAAAAATTAATAAAAATTAATAAAAATTAATAAAAATTAATAAAAATTAATAAAAATTAATAAAAATTAATAAAAATTAATAAAAATTAATAAAAATTAATAAAAATTAATAAAAATTAATAAAAATTAATAAAAATTAATAAAAATTAATAAAAATTAATAAAAATTAATAAAAATTAATAAAAATTAATAAAAATTAATAAAAATTATTAAAAATTAATAAAAATTAATAAAAATTAATAAAAATTAATAAAAATTAATAAAAATTAATAAAAATTAATAAAAATTAATAAAAATTAATAAAAATTAATAAAAATTAATAAAAATTAATAAAAATTAATAAAAATTAATAAAAATTAATAAAAATTAATAAAAATTAATAAAAATTAATAAAAATTAATAAAAATTAATAAAAATTAATAAAAATTAATAAAAATTAATAAAAATTAATAAAAATTAATAAAAATTAATAAAAATTAATAAAAATTAATAAAAATTAATAAAAATTAATAAAAATTAATAAAAATTAATAAAAATTAATAAAAATTAATAAAAGTTAATAAAAATTAATAAAAATTAATAAAAATTAATAAAAATTAATAAAAATTAATAAAAATTAATAAAAATTAATAAAAATTAATAAAAATTAATAAAAATTAATAAAAATTAATAAAAATTAATAAAAATTAATAAAAATTAATAAAAATTAATAAAAATTAATAAAAATTAATAAAAATTAATAAAAATTAATAAAAATTAATAAAAATTAATAAAAATTAATAAAAATTAATAAAAATTAATAAAAATTAATAAAAATTAATAAAAATTAATAAAAATTAATAAAAATTAATAAAAATTAATAGAAATTAATAAAAATTAATAAAAATTAATAAAAATTAATAAAAATTATTATTCATGTATTTTTTGATATAATAAACACGACACCACGTTTGCAAAGCCGCGGGAAACAGCTACGAGTAGTATCCTTTTAAAAATAAATCAAGATGAGTTAAATCTGGCTAAATACATGGGTTTTCTATTTATTTTCTTCACCCAATCCACCTCTCTGGAATGACATTTCTTACCAAGACAGCATAGTGTAGAGGCCCATAATATTGTTGCCGCTTAAAATGATTAACTGTCGTCATTGGACAAATGGATACACTTCTACCACTATTGGACTGATGCGCACTATTCTACATCTGTCTAATGAAGGGCATCGCTTATTCTATACCTACCAATTTTCTGACTTTATCTTATGAAACTTAACATACTGTATAATATTACATGCATCAATATTACTTATGTCACAGTGTGAAAATAAATAAAATATCTATACATACCAAGGACAAATAACTGCTAGACTAATTTTGTTTAACAAAATAGAATTTTAAACATTCACGGTGTTATTCATATATTTTTTTAAATTATGAAATAGTATGTTTATAATTCGAAATTGACTTAAGATAAAGCTCTAAAACGTACAAAAGGCTTCCAAAATTATATTATTCCTAAGGCCAGTTTTTATCAGTTTAATATATTTTTCTCATCGCAAGTATCATAGTTGAAGGTAACCAGTTTATTTTGAAGTTTAACAGCAGTCGTAGTCATAAATACTGATTCACATAACTAAACTCGCACAAATCATCCCCACTCAAATCAGCAGACGTCTTGCTCTTTTTATATGCAGCAGTCGTTGATTCGATAGCTTTGTCTGCCTAGTATAATCTAAATGCTTGAAATAAATAAGGCCCTAATTATATCGATAAGTTCAGTAGTTTTTCATCGTTGATACAAACCTACACTTTGTAAGCTTCAAAAGGCGAGGTCGTAGAAAAAGTACAGTATTCAACTTTTGCACTCGTGTGTAAAATATTGCTTCGCGTCCATGTTGCATAATCTACTGTTTCAATATTTGAATGAAAGCGTTTAAATGGAAATCAAATATTCTTAACGACTCTTGGTACTCGTAAATATCTTACTATTAAATATTTGTTTTAGGGTGGAGTTTATTTAGTTAATATGTTAAACGTGTATGGTCCAGGTTTAGCAATTCTCTTCGTTGTATTCGTTGAAGCAGCGGGAGTCTGTTGGATCTATGGAACGGACAATTTTGCTAGAGACATCGAAAAAATGATAGGGCATAAACCAGGAATTTTCTGGAGGATATGTTGGAAGTACATAAGTCCTGTTTTTATTTTGGTAAGATGAATTTGTTTATTAAAAATTATTTTAAATTATAATATATATCTTCGTCAATATCACGAACTGACGTAACTCGAAAAATTGAAAATTAAGATAAGTCACTGTAGACCCTAGCTTTATAGGGCTTGACATATACCGCCTTCGATCATGGTGGACTGTATTCAAATTAGATTACCTGGGGTGGGGGCCTTATGCTCCACCCTGTAGCCTCTGGAAGATATTCTTGAAGTTCTAGTTGAAGCACTGGGTGTATTAAAATAAAACCATCACCCTACATTTGTATTTGATATATTTACTGCTTGATACGTTCACATTTAACACATTTACAACTTTGTTACATAAAATTATTGATTACCGCAAATGCCGGCTTTTTAGGTTATAGTTTTTGACTTGTTGCTTGTTCGACTGAAAAAGCGAAAATGAGAGTTTTGTTTTGTTCTGCGATGCTTCTGAACTCAGACCGGCTTTTTAGCTTTCTCTAATTGGCTCACTAGTCTCGTATGATTGCATGCGAGACTATTGTTTTTAAGATCTGTCTTATGATTGGGTGAAAAATCTCGCGTGACTAGCTTTAACTGTTCGTGAAGCAGCAGGTTACTTGAAAGTTAAAAGGGTGGTTATTTCACAACTTTGATAATTGGTTTATACAGGGAGTGTCTATTTAGTATTTTATTCTTTTTTATTTGTTAAGTGCGGAGGTTTATACAAGGAGTGTCTATTTAGTATTTTATTCTTTTTTGTTTGTTAAATGCTGATTTAGAATAATCTGCCTTGCAGATAGGACATATTGAATGTAATTTCAACAGTCACATATTATGTAAAAAAGAATGCTCTACAATTTCACGAAATTACGTATCTCAAGTCATTACATTTATTAAAATAGTACGTATCTGATAATTTTACGAAGAATTTCAGGAAAAGAAGTGCTAATTCCTTAAGTATAGTCAAACATAAATCAGAAGGAAAAGCTCATATTTAAAATGACACATTTTCGGAGAGGCATTGCCATTAGCAATTCTTTTTTTAGCATATTTTTTTAATAATAGGCTTATGAATTGTAATTTTTTTTTAATTTTGCAATGGCCCCCTCCCTGGAGCCGCCTCTGATTTTAGTTTTACAATTTATTGCTTTCATACGATATTTATTCTTTGTCTTGTTCTGGTATATTTTAATGAAACCATGCAATGTTTCCTTTACACTTTTATTTTTAGTTTAGTATTATAAATATCAGCAAAAAATTGAGTTAATTTTTTAAAAAATACATTTATTTTTCAGATAATTTTTATATTTTCACTCGCCAGTCATGCCGATATGTTGGGGACGGAATATCATTATCCAGATTGGAGTTTGAATGTTGGTTATGCCCTTACAGCATCTTCCATTTTATGCATACCTGTCTATATTATATATAAATTTGCCATTACACCAGGAAATTTCCTACAGGTACGTAGTTATTACCAAAATTAAGTACTTACTTATTTTCGTAATTAAATTTCTAAAATGAACAGTAAAGGAAGCAGCCTTTAAACTTTACTTTCTCGACTTGTAGAAATTGATAATAATAATAATAATTGTTAATTTAATTTTTCTTCAATTATAGTACAAAATTTAAATTTAACTAATAATATTGAAATAGTTATAATTAATTATATAAGGTTCACCATATGATTCGAATATATAAGAGAAGAAGGTTTAGTACGGTGAAAAAATGTACAAGTTAAAGGATTACTGGGCAGATACAGCAAAAAAAAAATGAAAAAATGCCTAAAGGCAAACCGTAGACACGTGTTTCTGACTATTGGTCTTCATCAGTACGATGCAGCCAAGTTCAAAAGAGAATGGAACTAGCGATGAAATCAAAACAACAGGAGATCACTCAAGGAGCAACCACACATTTGTGGACTCTGTTAATATTGTCACGTTAAGTGGTTTGTTAGGCAAACCAATTAATCGTGGGGTACGCCACTGCGTATTTCGGACCGCCCAAACGATCTTCCAGTCGAGGAAGATCTTTGCGCCACCCGAAAATACTCACTGGAGAACCTTTCTTATGATTTACTGTTTGGCTTGGCTTTACGCTACTGGGTGAGGAATAAAAGTCACAAATAAAAAACTACAAATCTTTAATGAACACAAACTAAAATCCCCTAAACTACCCAGAAATCCTCAATGTTATAATGCACCCCAAATATACAATATATATATATACACTATAAAGACTTTAAAGAACCAACTAGTTACTTTTCTCAGAAATACCTTTTTTATTTTATTTTATTTTTTATTAGATTTATAAGATAACCTTACCACATATTTTAACAGCAAGCTGGAATGTCACGACATAAAATAAAGTTTTTAATTACTAGACGAAAAGATTGTTATTGTTTTAAATAACTTTAAATGTAATATTAAACACAAATTGGAATTGAATGGAAATTAAAAAGATTGAAATAAAATTATATTTTTGGAAATGGCTTTATTAAAATTTGAGTTGAAATATATTTTTTGGAAAGTACTTTATTTTATCTTTAATAAAAATCTAATTATTTTTAAATGCTATTCGTGACAATATTTTCCTAGTAAGCACTGGATACAATTATAATATTTTCAGATCTGCGTTAACAAAAAGAATTATTTAAATTTTTTTAATGTTATTATTATTCAAACAGAAAATAAGTAATTAGAAAAATGAAAAGAAATGGAAAATTAATTTGATATTGTTGATTTGATGATTGGAAAAAGAAATTAAAAAAAAATTATTAATGAGAATTTTTTTTTTAATTTTGCAAAGAGTAGATAATTGTAAATTTTGCTTAAATTGGCTACATCAGATTTTTTATTAAGTGTATTTTTACTATTGTAAATATGGACCATTTCTGAAGAGATCCTCTTGATATAGTTACGTTCTTTTACGAGGATTTTAGTTTCACTGAAATTCATAGTATGTTTTTTGTTGATTACGTGGTCTGCTAAGGCACAGGACAACTTTTTTTTGTTACAATCACTCATATGGACGAGTGACCTATATAAACGTTATCACAGTCTGAACAAGGAATGCTATATACTAAATTCGAATTTTCTAATTTCTCTAAAGGTGTTTTTGTTTTGGTATAAAGATTTTTGATCGTTTTTACGTTATGAGCAAAGAATACCTACCCAAGAAGCGAAACTAAATGGGCGATTCGTGGACAAAAAACTGCCAAGTTTTCTCAGTGTTTTAGAGGTAGTTTAACGTCAAATATGCTGTCAATGTATGTAGAGCAACGTTTGGTATTATTATTAGCGTTTTGTGAAAATTGCAGTATAGTTAAGTAGTTGTATTTAACTAAGTAGTAATTAGAAATTAGATAGTTTTAAAATTTGTATTACATGTTCATAAATTTTATTGAACGTTCTTGCATCTAACTGTAATATTTTTTTTATTCTAAATCAGTATTAAGTACCTATAATTATAATTTACGCCTACGTTTAATTACCTAGTCTTTTTTTTAAATATGTTATTTTTTTGTGTTTCAAACCAATCAATTTAAAACGGTAAATAAACAATAATATAAAACAATAATTAAAATATATGACAATACTTAACGTGTGGCGGGTGGGTTACCCCCACGGCACTTAGGTCTAACTAGGCCCATTGTGTATCCTCCTAAGATGATAGGCACCTCCAGCTTGTGAGTCCTGGGCGGCTATCCTCGACAATCGCTAAAAAACGAACCGTTTTCGAAAGTGAGTGGTTGAAAAGCGAGTAGTTTTTGAAATCTATATTCTTGACTGGCGTTCGATAAGCATTCGTTTTTTAAAACGTGTACGTTTTTAACAAGCAAATAATATATCTGGCATCACTGTAAACTGTCTATATCGCTGAATTCAAGTAATGTGCAGACCATAAAAAAATAAGGATTATGTAATTTAATTACAACAAACCAATTGTAAATTTATCGAATGATGATTTTTCTAATCACATAATATATCAATGTTCAGGATAAACTGAATCGTTAATCATTGGCGGAAAAACAGCTATACGGGTGCTGTCAATGTAAAGCCTTGGTTTCTTTGAACACTTCGTCACGGTGAGCGGACAGTCAGGGAACCGTCGCGTTTTGACGAGTATTTAAATGGGAATGGTTTTCTTGAATCCGCTCAGCTGAGCAGGACGGCGTCATGCCGCTGATTTGTCGCGAAGAGTCGGTTGATATTTGTTGAGTTTGATATCAGCGGAATCGTCGGCGTGTGCGGAGACTATATTGTTATTAATTTTAAAACAATGACTGACAAATTCACACATACAGATGACATCATGACTTTTTTTTAGGTTTCTTAGAAATTATGTCCTTTATAAAACAACACGAAATCAAAAAGATATGTAGAAAGTCTAAAATACTCCCTAAATTTGGTTTCATTTCCAAAAAGCCTCCTCTGCACAGTGATATTAAAGGCACCATCTGTATCGCGACACAAAAACAACTCATCCACTGGCTTATTGGAAACTTTGACGGTTGCAATTGCCAGTTCCTCTTGTTCTTCCTCTTCCAACAATAATAACAACGCAAACAATTTATTTGCATCCATTTCGAAAACATAAACAGCACGTACAGACATAGAAAAAGTATCATTTTCTATATTTTTTAACAAACCACCTCGGGCGAAAATTGCTGTCCTCAGCGGTCGACGGACTGTCCGCTCACCGCGACGGAGTGTTCAAAGAAACCAAGGCTTAACCTATAATTCTAGGAAAATCGTACGTCATAAAACCTAGTTTTTATGATACAAAATTAACTTAAAAACTTTGCTAATCTCATTCAGTTCTTTAATATCTTGTGGCAAAATATAAAAAATATTCATTCAATATCCATTAAATTAAAAAATTGGATTCTGCCTCTGCATGTCTGAATCTTTATGTTATGTTGAGAATGGGGTGTTAATACACTGCGATCTAAAAGATCTATTGTGCCCCCTTCTGTCGCCAATGCACTAAGGAAGTGTCTCAATGCCTATAACGACCCTTCCAATCCTATTTTCTCAAAGAAGTGTACGATTTGAAGTGGCTTCAAGTTAGGTAAATCTCTGCTTTTAGCATTCTTATCTTCCAAGTTTTCTAATTGTACTAATTATTGTATTAATTGAAAGAAATTCTCAGCTATTAGACTTTTTTAGTACTGCAAACCATATTTATAAGAAATTAGATACTTTTGTAAGTATTAATAAAAAGTAAAATTTGTTAAAATCAATCAATATTATTAATCATCCTAAAAGTGACATTGATTAAATCCTTGAAAACATGCACGTTTTGTCACAAACGTGTGAAAAATTCCGCTCGCTGTAAAACACCCGTTTTAAAAACGTACACGCTTTTAAAACGAATGTCGAGAATAGCGAATAGCTCGCATGTTACTAAAGCGTATACGTTGTTTAGAAAACGATTGCCGAGGATAGGGCCCCAGGTCGCCCAAAAGTAGTTTCGGACAGGAATAAGAGACTCTTGGTAAAATTATGCAAAAAAGGCCGAAGAAATACTTTAAGACAAGTTACAGCTGAGTGGAATCATGAAACGGGTCTAAATTTGTCAAGGGAATGCTGTCGCAAGTGGATACATAAAAGTGGACTTAACTTTTATAAGGTTAAATTTACAGGTAACAATTTAAAAAGGTGTTTTTAAAAATGTAATATTCTTATAGGCAAAGGAAAAGCCACTATTAACAGCAAAACAAAAGCAAGCCAGGCTTACATGGGCAAAATCTAAATTGTCTTGGTCAGTAGAAGACTGGTCTCGGGTAATTTTTAGCGATGAATCGAAGTTCGATGTATGCATTGGTGATTACCGCAAACGGGTAATTCGCACTAAGAATGAGGCTTTTCACAAAGATTGCTTAAAACGAACTGTAAAATTTCCTAAAGGAGTAATGATTTGGGGTTGTATGGCTGCATCAGGATTAGGATGCTTTGAATTTATTGATGGTACCGTGCATGCCGCAAAATATCAACAAATACTTGAAAACAGTCTACTGCCAAGTGTAGAGAAGTTAAATATTGTTGAAAATTATATCTTTCAACAGGATGGGGCGGCCTGTCATACGGCTAAAACTACCAAAAAGTGGTTCGGAGACCACAATGTTAATGTCCTCTCTTGGCCTTCCAACAGTCCTGACCTTAATGTTATAGAAACAGTATGGCATAAAATGTCATTGAGAAACAACCCACAACGGACATTACCAGAACTTAAAGCCAAAATAGAGCAGATTTGGAATGCCTTTTCCCCCGAACAGTGCAGATCCTTGATCGAGTCAATGCCCAAACGAATTCGAGCGGTCATAAAATCTAAGGGCGATGTTACTCCATTTTAAAAATAAAAATTTGTTCTATGTCCCATTATTTAGTTGCCACACAAAATGCACCTTTTTCTTGTAAATTTCAGATTATAGAATAAGTATTTTATTTTTTGTGTTGCT